AAAAATATTTGAAAAAATAATGGCCAAAAAATTTCTAAATTTTATGAGAACTACAAATTCATCAGATTCAAGAGGTTCAACAGATCTCATGCACACGCACACAAGCAGGGGAGGGGCAGAGAGAGAGAATCTTAAGCACGCTCCACACTGAGCATGGAGCCCCACACAGGGCTTGATCTTACAACCCTGAGATCATGACCTGAGCCAAAATTAAGAGTCAAACTCTTAACTGACTGAGCCACCCAGAGGCCCTGATTCAATAGCTCTTAAGAAAAATAATCTACATAAAACCACAGCAAAATACATTATAATCAAATTGCTGAAAACCATGATAGAAAAATCTTAGAAATCTCCAGAGAGAATGTTGGCAGACTTCTCATCAGAAAAAAATGAAAGCCATAAGAGTGGAGAGACTTTTTTAAAGAACTGGAGGAGGTGACTGACTCCAAAGGGGCACTAGGCAATTTTTTAAGGTGATAAAAATGTTTAATGTCTTGATCGTGGTGGTTTGTACACCATACTCATACTTCTAAATAAAACTGATGAAGTTTGTCATACGAAAAGTATCTCAAAAAAGTTCATCATGAAAAAAGATGTTGGTCAGTTTTGAGGGTAATGGTATTAGCATAATATGAGAGTTTCAAATTAGAGAAACTTTTTTTATAAAAAAAAATCCATTCTAAAAAATTATAAAATATTTTTCTTCTATTAGGTCTAGGTACTGCAATATTTTAAAGAGAGGTATGAATTCACATATCTTATAATCTGTACTTTAACAGACACCAAATTTCCCTTTTAAGAAAATAAAATCAAATTACTGGGAGAAAAAAAAATAATTTTAATTAGCAAGTTATGTGATTTAGATAACTTATAAAAAGTCATTCCCAATAAAAATGTATTTTCTATGAAGACAAGACCCAAGTGAACATCATACTAAAATTGTCACATAATTAATGGTATGGATCAAAATAATCATTTTAAATTTGCATTATTTCACACATGTGCAAAAAAATTATTGTAGGTTGAAGATATTTTTAAAACTAATTTTACAAAAAATGTCTTGTTTTGAATAACTTTTAAATTATTTTTATTAACTTTTTCCAAGAAATTAATAGGCACAGAGAAATTTTCATCAAACTGTGTTTTCTGTAACTATAATAAAGTACATAATAGGGTGCAACAATGTTTCTTACCTCCAGTTTACTTCTTGAAGAAGTGGGTTTCCAGTGAGAGACAATTCGTGGAGAGAATAACATGCATTAAACCACTTAATGGCACTTGTAAGATCTACAGAAAATAAAAAATAAAAACCATTATGAAAGGTAATACAGAGAAAGAACAATAATCATTTATAAATGACCATTTATTTATTGATTAGGTAATAAAGGAAAGCAACAAAAATATTTATTCTGCAGAATACAGTGTGCTTTTAAAAAGACGCTGTATTAAGAATACAGACTCCACTATTAGAATATATATTTTTCCCACAATTGCTTTGTGATTCAGGCTCATACCTCTTACTGGGTGAGGGTTAAATGAGATCATGTGTATAAAGAATTTAGAACAGTTTGTGCCAGATTGTTATCACGAAATCTAAAGAAGTTAAATCTAAAGTAATAAGTGGTAAAATTGAACACATACCTAAAGAGAATTATGTGAACTTTTTTTACTTTCAAAAGTAAGAAGAGTAAGTCAATCCAGGGTATATTACAGAAGAATTTATATAAAATTGCTCTCCCACAGATAATCAGAAAACTGGACAATACATATGAAGTACCTGTTTTTAAGCCTGCCTCTCAGAGATGGGAAACATATATGGTGCATCTACACTCACAGTGGTTTCCCATTTGAAAGCAGCTTACCACTTCAGAACAGTAGAGACCAAATGAAGAAGCTCTTTTGCTGAGTGAGGAGGCAAAGATTAGAACTGAAGTTGGAATTCATGATGAAAAGTACTGAGAAGAAGCTATGTATATATACATGTTATAGGGAGGAACCGGGGGAAAGAAGTCTATGTGAGAATTCACCACAGGTCTGTGGGCAAGTACACGGTGTCACACACACAGGGAAAGACTGAAAAACCTAGCAGAGATCACCAGCTGTAAGGCTAAGAGCTGCATGATGACACTAAGTGCATGCATCAGTGAAAGACACTGGAGTCTCAGCCCAGCCAAAATGAGACCTAACTGAGAATCTCAGAGAGTGTGCACTAGGAGTGAACACAATGCCTTGGGGTAGGGGCATGCACTAAGAGTTGAAAACTAAAATGGCTTGTCCTAAAAGAGAATGAAATTAAAGCAGAAAAAAAAATATATCCATAAATGCTTTAACCGCCTACCGCAACTGAAGTTAACTCCCTTTAAAAGGAAGGCAACAATATGCAGACTCACTAAACTGGATTATGTAAAATGTCCACCATATAGTTAAAAATTACTAGACATATCAGACAAAACAGACTTTACTTCAGATAAAACACACTTTTTTTACAAAATTTTTTAATGTTTATTTATTTTTGAGAGAGACAGAGAGACAGAGCTCGAGGGGAAGGGCCAGATAGAGAGGGAGACATAGAATCTGAAGCAGCTCCCAGCGCCGAGCTGTCAGCACAGAGCCCGATGAGGGGCTAGAACTCACAAACCGTGAGATCGTGACTTGAGCTGAAGTTGGATGCTTAACTGACTAAGCTACCCAGGCACGCCTAGATAAAACACACTTTAAAACAGAGAATGTAATGAGAGACAAAGAAGAGTGTTACATAATGATAAAAAGGGTCAATCCAACATGAGGATGCAACATTGTAAATATTTATGTGGCCAACACAAAAACACCTACATGCTTAAAGCAAATATTGACAGCCTTAAAGAGAGAAATAGACAGCAACACAATAATCATAGAGGACTTTAATATTCCACTTACATCAAAGAATCGATTATCCAGATAGAAAATCAAAAAGGAAACATCAGCCTTAAACAACATGTTAGACCAGATGGACTTGACAAATGTTTATAGAACATTCCACTCAAAAGCAACAGAATACACATTCTTCTCAAGTGCACATGAAACACTTTCCAAGACAGATTATATGTTAGGCAATGAAACAAGTCTTAATAAATTTAAGAGGACTGAAACCATATCAAGCACCTTTTCTGACACGATGATATGGAACTAGAAATTTATCACAAGAATAAAATGAAATTCACAAATATGTGGAGATTAAACATCATGCTACAGGGCGCTTGGGTAGCTCACTTGGTTGAGTAGCTGACTTCGGCTCAGGTCATCATCTCACGGCTCAAAGGCTCATGGGTTGGAGCCCCACATCAGGCTCTGTGCTGACACGTCAGGACCTGGAGCCTGCTTCCAATTCTGTGTCTCCCTCACCCTCTGCCCTTCCCTTGCTTGTGTTCTATCTCTCTCTCTCTCAAAAATAAATAAACATTAAAAAATTAAAAAAAATAAATAAACATCCTGCTACTCAACAACCAATGTTTCAAAGAGGAAATCAAGAGAAATTTAAAAAATACCTTGAGACAAATTAAAATGGAAATGTAACTTACTAAAATTTATGGGATACAGCAAAAGCAGTTTGAAGAGGGAAGATAAAATGGATAAATGCTACCGCAAAAAATAAGAAAAGTCTCAAATAAACAACATAACTTTACACCCCAAGGCACCAGAAAAAGAAGGAAGGTCAAGGTTATTAGAAGGAAGAAAATAACAAAGATTGGAGCAAAAATAAATGAAATAAAAAACAGACAATAGAAAAGATCAATACAACTAAGAGCTGATTCTTTGAAAAGATAAACAAAATTGGCAAACCTTTAGCTGGACTCACTAGAAGGAGGAGGACTCAAATAAATAGAATCAAAAATCAAAGAAATGTTACAACTGATACCACAGAAATACAAAGGATCATAACAGACTACTAGGAACAATTATATGCCAACAAACTGGGACAATCTAAAAGAAATGGATACATTCCTAAAAACATACAACCCACCAAGACTGAATCATCATGAATTAGAAAATCTGAACAGATCAATTCCTAGTAAGATGACTGAATCAGTAATCAAAAACCTCCCAACGAACAAAAGTCCAAGATCCAACAGCTTCACTGGTGAATTCTATAAAACATTCACAAAAGAATACATACTAATCCTTCTTAATGTCTTACAAAGACTAGAAGAGCAGGGAATTCTTCCAAACTCATTTTATGAAGCTAGCATTACCCTGATACCAAAATTAGACAAGAGCACCACAGGAAAATCATAAGCCAATATTCCTGATAAACATAGATATGAAAAATTCTCAGCAAAATATTATCAAACTCATAATAGCAAACTAAATTATCAATAATATATTAAAAACTAATATATCATGATCAGGTGAGATTTATCGACAATCACCAGTCAAGGTAACATACCACATCAACAAAATGAAGGATAAAATCATATGATCATCTCAAAGGATGCAGAAAAAGCACTTGACAAAATTCAATATCCACTTATAATACAAATGCTCAAAAAGTGGGTATAGAAGGAATGTACCCGAACATAATAAAGACCATATAGAATAACCCCACAGCTAACATCATTCTTAATGGTGAAAAGATGAAGCTTTTCCTCTAAGATCAGGAATAAGACACAGATGCCCACTCTCACAACTTTATTCTACATAGTTTTGGAAGTCCTAGCTAGAGCAACTATTCAGGAAAATAAAATAAAAGGCATCCAAATTGGAAAGGAAGGAGTAAATCTGAAGCTATTTGATGACATGATGACATGACATGATGACATGATATATATATAGAAAACCCTTAAGACTTGATCAAAAAACTGTTAGATCTAATAAACAAATTCACTAATGTTGCAGGATGCACAATCAATACACAAAGACCTGTTGGGTTTCTTTACAGTAGTAATAGGGCATCAGAAAAAGAAATTAAGAACACAATCCGTTTATAATTCCATGAAAAGAATAAAATACCTAGAAATAAACTTAACCAAAGTGGTGAAAGATCTATATATGGAAAACTGTAAGACACTAATGAAAGAATCAAGGAAGAACAAATAAATAGAAAGACATGCCACGCAATAGGCCAGAAGAAGTAATACTGTTAAAATGTCCATAACACCCAAAGCAATACACAGGTTCAATGCATTCCCTATCAAAATCCCACTGGCATTTTTCACAGACATAAAACAACAATCCTAAAATTTATATTGAACCACAAAAGACCCTGAATACCCAAAGTAATTTTTTTAAGATTATTTAGTTATTTTGAGAGAGAGAGAGAGAAGGGGGTGGGCAGAAAGAGGGAAAGAGAGAATCCCTAGCAGGCTCTGTGCTGTCAGTGCAGAGCCCAATGCAGGGGCTGGCTCAATGTCACCAGCTATGAGAACATCATGACCTGAGCCAAGATCAAGAGTCAAACACATAACTGACTGAGCCATCTAGGTGCCCCAACAATCTTTTTCTTTTTAAGTTTATTTATTTATTTTGAAAGAGAGAGAGAGAGAGAGAGAGAGAGAGAGAGAGTACAAGTAAGTGGAGGAGGGTAGAAAGAGAAGGAGAGAGAGAGAAAACCAAGTAGGCTCCACATTGAGCATGGAGCCCAACACAAGGCTCGATCCCACGACTGTGAGTTCATGACCTGAGCCATGATTCCCCCCAACCACCCAAAGCAATCTTGAGAAAGAATGAAGTTGGAGGCATCATGCTCCTTTATTTCAAACTATATTACAAATCTACAGCAACTAAAATTCAGTATAGTATTGGAATAAAAACAGACATACAGATCAACAGAAGAGAGACTCCAGAAATAACCCTACCCATATATGTTTAATTAACTTATGACAAAGGAGCCAAGAATATACATTGGGGAAAGGACAGTCTCTTCAATAAGTGATGTTGGGAAAACTGGACAGTCATATTCAAAGAATGAATTGATTATTGTCTTACACCATACACAAAAATTATCTCAAAATGGATTGAAGACTTAAACATAAGACCTGAAACCATAAATGTCCTAGAAGAAAACATAGGTGGTAAACTCCTTGACATGGGTCTTGGTGATGATGTTTTTAATCTAACACCAAAACAAAATGCAATTAAAGCAAAATAAACAAGTGGAACCATATCAAATTAAAAGCTTCTGAACAGCAAAGGAAACCTAGCCAAAATGAAAAGGCAACCTATTGAATGGGATAAAATACTTGCAAATTACATGTCTGATAATTATCTAATATCCAAAATTAATACAGAACTCATACAACTCAATGGCAAAAAACCCTAATCTGATTAAAAAATGGGCAGATGATCTGAATAGACATTTTTTCAAAGATGGCAAAATGATAGCCACCTATGAAAAGATGAAAAGATATGAAAAGATATGAAAAGATGCTCAACATCATTAATTATAAGCGAAATACAAATCCCAATCACAATGGGATCTCACCTCACATCTGTTAAAACAGCTATTACCAAAAATATAAGAAATAACCAGTGTTGCAAGGATGTGGAGAGAAGGGAACCGTCTCACACTGTAAATGTGTGAATGTAAATGGTGCAACTGCTATAAAAAACAGTATAGAGTTCCTCAAAAAAAGTAAAAAAAAGAACTATGTTATGATACAGCAATTCTACTTCAGGATATTTTATTTTTTAAAAATAACCCACTAACTTGAAAAGATACATGCACCCCATGCACCCCTATGTTCATTACAACATTATTTGCAATAGTGAAGGTATGTACCCAGCCTAAGCGTCCAATGATGCATGAATGGATAAAATAATTGTGGTATATAGATCTACAATGGACTATTATTCAGCCATAAAAAAAATGGAATCTTCTCCTTTGTGACAACATGAATGGACCTCAAGGGCATTAAGCTAAGTGGAATAAGTCAGAAAAAGACAAATGACATATGATCTCTCTCATATGTGGAATCTAAAACAAAAACGAAAACACAAAACAAACAAACAAAAAAGGCTCAGACCCAGGGTGGGGGTGGAAGAAAGGGATGAATTCTTTTTTTGTTTGTTTAAATAAATTGAAAAAAAAAAATCCTTTGAAAGATACATGTTTATCATGTAAATTCCTGTCACCTCCAAAATCAAAGGATAACATTTTAGCACCAAAAAGAACTGTTTAGAGAAAGACGAGTCTGTAGGATCAGAATTTGGAAGAAAAGTTCTAGTTCTAGTTCACACTGTATATCCCAGTTATATAGGAATTACCACATATTCTTGCAACCATATAGCCTTTGCCATGATACTCGACATATCTATTCATACTCTCTGGAACTGTTCTATGTATATAACTGTACAGATCTGTTTGAACGATTTATTGTTTTAGTCATTTCAAAGTTTTCCCAGTGATCGGCTCACAGAGCTGAAGTTGCCCTTGGTAATATGGCTGTTTTTGTTCTCTAATATATTAAGTTTCTCATTTTCAAAACTACCACCTCCATCACCTGAGTGGACTGTTGCTCTGTGGAAGCTAATTTTGTCCAGAGAGAAAAGGAAAGGCCTTGAGAAAAGAAGCCTTTGGGACCCAGAAGCCTGATCTGTGAAGAACATCTGGGGGCCAAGGCTGCACTACCATGATAGGAAGGAGATGGGGGTGTAGTTCAAGCCAAGGTCAGAGACAACTCCACTCTTCATCTGATTGTATACGCACAGAATACCTTTATTGTACACTGAACAGCTAGTAACTTTGGTTGCTGCTGGGGAAGCAAGGCTAAAGAGACTTCTCCTCAACTCCTTTTTTTTAGCATCTTGATCCATATGTTGCTTTTCTCAAATTTTCAATTAAATAAAACACCTCATAAAAAATTACTAAATACATAAGGAAATAGTAAATATTATTTATCATTAGATCAGTTAATAAAGAAAAGCAGTTAATAGAAACTCATCCCAAAGTCAAAGGTAAATCAAAATTTTTGACACACCAAAGTAATTCAATGATGAAAAAAGGTTGATTAACAAACGTTGATGGAACAACTGGATTTCCATATTAAAAACTAAATTCATCTTCTACTTTGTATCATTCATAAAAAATAATTTGATATGGATCATAGACCTAAAGGTAAAAACTGAGAGTACAAAATTTCTATAAGAAAGCAAGAAAGTATATAAAATCATCTTCTCAAACTGGAGGCAGAAAAATATTACACGGACATAGAAAACAATAACTATTAAAAATAATAAATTAAATTTCATCAAAATTTAAGACTTCTCCTCACCTGAAAATATCATTAATAAAAATTCATAGTTAAAAGACCAGGAGAAAATATTACAAAATATATATCTGACAAAGAATTATAACCAGAATATATAAAAAGCTTACACATAAGAAAAAGGCAAATAACCAAATTTTAAAAATGCTGAGACATTCGAATGGACACAAAAGAATATACAAAATAATCAATCAATGAATGAATGAAAAAAGCCTTAATATCATTATTATCATGGAAATGTAAACTAAAACCATAATGAGATAACACAATGAAATATTAAAGATCCTCCAGAATGGAGCAGTTGAAAATCCAGTATATTACTGATGTAAAATGTTACAACTACTTTGGCAAACAGTTTTTTTCAGTTTCTTCTAAAGAGAAACATACACATACTATATTATCCAGCAATTACACTCTGATATACTTATCCCACAGAAATGAAAACATATGTCTACAGAAAGATTTATATAAGAATTTCCCCAGGAAATTCTATAATAATCATGGTAGCCCCAAACCACAAATTATTAAAATATCAATCAACAGGAAAATGGACAAAGTATGATACATTCATACAATAGCCTACACTTCAGCCAAAGGAAAAAAAAAAAAAAGAAAGAAAGAACAGACCACGGATATGGTGGAATGTCACATGAATGTTAAGAAAGCTGGAGGCAAAAGAGAACATACTGTTTGAGGACATTAATATATAGGATAGTCAAGTTAACCTTTATGGTGTCAAATTCAGAAATATTGTTGTCTCCGTGAGGGGAATGGGGATGGGGAAATTTGAGGAGGTATTAATCAACTACATCAGTTGATCATTCTTTAATGAATTTTTAATTGGTGTTTGCTTTATAAATGTTAGGAGCCAACAAATTAGACAAATTTGTTTACTTATCTTCATTAGGTTATATTTTTCATAGGTAAAAGATACATGAATTTCAAATAAAAATACAATTGTGATATTTTCCAGATCTATCAGAAAGATACAGGAATTATGATTTTAAAAGTGGAAGGAAATTTAATTGAATGATTTCACCATGCCTTTGAAGGAATTCAGAAATTTCCACACAAATATACCACTCTAGCATATTGACTATTTTGAGTTAAAGGCATTTAAAACACATCAGATGCAAGTATACTGTGACCTTCCTTCATTTCCTTAGAAGAGATGAAATTCCTAAATTAAAGATATCCTCCCTATACTAAAAGAAACACTTTTTTTTTTTAAGTTTATTTATTTTGAGAGACAGACAAAGCACAAGTCAGGGAGGGGCAGAGCGAGAGGGAGGGAGAGAGAGAAAGAGAGAGAGAAAGAGAGAGAGAGAGAGAGAGAGAGAAAGAGAGAGAATCCCAAACAGCCTCCACACAGTCAGCACAGAGCCCAATGTGAGCTCAAACTCATGAAACTGTGAGATCATGAGCTAAGCTGAAGTCAGACACTTAACCGAACGAGCCACCCAGGTGCTCCTAAAAGAGACATTCTTATCAAGAGGATAGGAGGGAGAAGCCAAGAGAAATGCCTACAACCAAACCTTTAAAAAACAGCAGCAACAACAACAACAACAACAACAACAACAACAACAACAAAAAACATTACAAGTTGTATCCTTTGCTTCCAAATCTGTCTTGTGTCAGTTTAATTCTTAGGCCTACCCTAAAATCGTAAAAGGATACAGGAGAAATTTTTCCTCCTCTACACCTTATTGCATAGATATGTTATTTGTAAATACCATTAACACATCTATCCAAAACCATTCCTTACCACATTTAGAAAAGAAACTCAAAAGCTTATTATGTACTTTTTAGAAATTATATATTATTCTAAACTTACCAGAAAGACAATTGTTGCTGACATCTAGTTTTTCCAAAGAAACAAAATGAAAAAGCGGTATGATTTTTGTCAAGCTGAAAACAAAGAAATAGAATTCATAAAAATTTTAAATTGGAATGTCCTTATTATGACATAACCACATAATAACGTATTAATATAACACAATTATGTGATAATATGCAATTGTATATGATTATATATACATATATCATTATATATTTGTACAATAAAATGCAATTATAATAACATTAAGAGTGCTAATTAAAAATGTAGTAATCATAAAATTCTAAGTATTTATTCTATAATAGAACATTTGTATTCATTTTTAAGAGAAAACACCATGTATTATCAAGTTCGATGACAAATATCATGGATTTTAATGTGTACATGTTATTTAAATAAAAATAAGTGAACTTTTTTATTATTGTTTTTGTTTGGTTTTTGTATAAAGCCAAATTTACAGAGAATTTATATTACAGATATATTTTGTCCTGGCTCAAACACATAACTTAAACCATGAAGAGGTTAAAAATGTAAAAAATATTTGTTTTCACTTTTCAACAGCATAACAGATTAGAGTTACTAGTTTTGTTTTTAATTAATTTTGTTTGTTTGTTTTCCAGATCAAAAGTATTATAAGTATTGCAATTATCCAAAGTTACACTAAGGTTATTTCTAAACTAGAAATATGCATCTAAGCAACATTATAATAGAAAATGTTTTATACAGATAGAATGAACCTAAATTTGGCAGAAATATGCAAACACTTAAATTAATAATCATTATTAAGGCATGCATATTCAAATTCTAGCAATAATGAATTTTCCTCCTGCATCTAAAAATTTCTGTCATTTTCTAAGATATAGTTGTCAGTAAGAACCCAAATTCAGGCCAGGAACATAAGTGATATTCAAAATATTCACATCACTGGAAACAAAAGCCATGAAGAGAAAATTAATTTAGTTTGATTTGCATTTCCAACTAAGACAAGTCTACAGTTTAGTCTGTAACACAAAACCACATTACCATAGCTATTTAGAAATAAAAATTAAGCCAGCTTTTCTAAATCTTTAAACAACAGAAAAATTCCTTTGCTTGAAATATATTCTCATTACAAACACAAGTCTCCTGAACTAATCTTCCGTATAAATGTCAGAACTCCGTAACAGTTCAAAATATGCCTCAACTAACAGAATATTTCTGGTACAAAAGAAAAAAAAGTACGCATTAATTTCCACTTCTTTTCTTTTCTTGTTTTTTATACTGTCCTTCCAGTTGTCCTGTCAGACATTTTTACATCTTTATTTCTACTATCTCCTTGTCATGAAAAAAAATCTATTATTCTAAGGTCAGAATCTTATAGAATAATACTGTGACTAGAAGCCTCATGGGGTCTGGCACAAAACTAACCCTTGTACTGACCTTGACTCCTTTCTTGTACTATCCTGTTCTGCATTAGCAGAGAGACAGAAGATACTACCGATGAAAAAACAGACTAAATAATGAGACTGGAAAAAGTTCTCTCTGACTGTAGCTAAACCTAAATACAATATTACTATTTATGTTAAGCCTATACAACACCACTTCTTACATACAATTTCCAGGAGGAAAGAAAATCCAAGATAATAAAAGAGTGATAAAATGTTGGCCATTACATTTATATATACACTTCATTATTTGTACATATATTCCTAAATAGTCAAATTTATGAAATGTCACATGTACAATGAAAAGGAAGGAAGGAAGGAAGGAAGGAAGGAAGGAAGGAAGGAAGGAAGGAAGGAAGGAAGGAAGGAAGAAGAGAAGGAAGGGAGGAGGGAGGGAGGAAGGAAGGAAGGAAGGAAGGAAGGAAGGAAGGAAGGAAGGAAGGGAGGAAGGAAAGAAGGAAGGGAGGAAGGGAGGGAGGGAAAACAACCTAAAACTTTGTTGCTACATAATTAGTGGATTTAAATCCTAGTTTTATGATTCTCCTACTCAGCATGTTTTGGATCATTATCATTACAAGCAGGAAGTTTAAGTTCCTCAATATAATTCTAATGAATGTATTTATCAACAAGAAAATTCTTACTTGTTTGGTACCTTTAATAAATTTCTACTACTAAATCTTTGTTCTTCTACTAAAAGGGTTTTGAAAGATTAACAGATAATGAGTTTTCTTCTTTTTTTTCAGACTATTTCATGTTTTTAACCAGTAAGTTATATGGTAAAGTGTAGGTAACATATAGGTTATATGAAGACTTCCAGTAAAATAACCAATAAAGTCTTAGAATTAAAAATAAAATTCTCTTTTCAAAAATCAATGCAAGTAAAGAAATATTTGGTTTGACTATTTTTATAATATTAAAACTTTATCTTTTCAGATAACCATGCTTTTAGAATTCTGTTCTTTTTCTTTTTTAAAAGTTTTAATCAAGAAAACTGATTATTCATTCACCTTTATGACTATTCATTAGGATGGTAGAAACCTAATAGTGGAATTCTTTTTTCAAACTTCTAGAACTTTTCCTTTTACTGACATTCTGTGTATATTTTTTCCAAGAAAATTCAAACCAGAAAGACAAAGGACATTAGTGAAAACCTAATACCATTTGACCTTGTCACATTAGCCCTGGGCATAAAAAAGATATAAATTTCAAAGACGACAAAAAGCAAAAGATTTGTACAATGAGCAGCCAATGGGTAATAGTTTCCACTTTCTGCTCCTACTTAGAGTCTCACTGGAAGTAGAAAGACTTATGAAGCCGGAGTCTTCCAGTTAGGACTCCGCTGAGTCAAACTTAAAACAGTCATATGTTCTAATGAAAATTTAAAACAGAAGTCAAGATGAAACATGTATTTCAAACAATATGTACTAAGTATCATTCCTTATTGTATTTCATTTGTTGGGGGGGAAAAGCATATGGACACATAATTTCTTCCTTGTGGTGAAAATATCAAAAATTAAGAGAAAAATATTTACAATTTAAAAGACACACCAATCACAAATCCAAATATCGCATTTATAAAACTCTTCTCAGATTTGCAAAATATATTGACATACATTTTCCTTTTAGATCATCATTAGAATCCCATGAAACAGGTAAGGTAGGTATTACTACCTCTTTTATATGTAAAAAAACTCAGGCTCAGGCAGTAAGAAGAGAATTGCTCAAGGTCAACTGACAGGTAAGTTGTAGGTTCAGAATTCAAACCCAGATTGGCTGCCCTTGAGTCCATTTCTGTCAGTCACATCCCTGATGTCTTTAGGCCTTTTCCCTTTGTCCTTTCAGAAATGGTAGATGAAATGTGCAAAGAACTTTGAGAGAGTCATAAAGAATATATTCAAATATGTGACAGTATTAAAAAATTCAAAAGAACATATTTATATAATAAATTTACTTATTTTTATATAGTTAAGTTCAAAAGATTAAGTTCTTTTATTGTTAAGAGTTTTTTGATGCTAAGAACATATATTACTCAGTTCTGTGTCCCCCAGAATAGCAAACACCACCACCAAATGTTATAAGGTTAAGCAAATAAATTTATAAATAAGGATTATTTGGATTAAGTATCCCAATTATTATTATCAATTCTAAAAAACATCTAGTGATCAAGTTTATATAATTCCTAGTAATAGCAGATTGATAGGTCAAAAGTCTATCAGAAAGATTTCTTTGATAATCTAAATTGTCCAAAAAAATTAAAGGCATTATTTCTCAAAAAAGGTTATTGACTCGAATATTTTTTAAACTCATTAAATATTATTTTGCTCATTGATGTGGTTTAAGGTCCACTTCTATAAGATGTGTGAGGTATGTCAATTACTGAGTGATTTATTGCATATGTCTAAAGCACAGCTGAGCATTTCCATTGAAATTGTGTTTCTTACCTGGAAAATATTGTGAAGAGATCCAGTGAGTTTGTGGATGGCCCACATTACTTAAACAATGTTGTCTAATAGAGCTGGCTCTACCATAAATGTCCTCTTAAAACCAAGTCAACTTTCATAGAATAGAGCTGATTAAAATAATTTGAGGGAATTTTTGAATACAGATTCAGTTTTTGCTTTACCAAACAGTGGAACAGTTTAATAGGTATATGTTAAATCATTTGGGACATACATGCTCAAAGGATGAGCACTTCTGTGGCAGAGAATGTGAGAATATTTGATGATTCTTTTAGGAGAAAAATATATATGTATTAAAATCAGGCTGTACTTGTTCACTTGTTCCTCAAGAATTGTATACCTCAAAAAAGCAATTTCTTGTTAAAGGTGGTTTCTATCCCCTACTCCATGTGACTTTGATGAACAAATTAATCGTATTAGAGTGAATAGGTCTCAATGAAATATTAAGCAGAAGGAGACATACGCATATTGTACTCCTGTTTTGGTTTTAGACAGTTTTTCCCTGCAAAGATCCAGATGTTTGGTGGTTTCAAATGGATCTTCTGTGTCAGGTACCCATCTCGATTTAATGTTAAGGTATTTTTTTAAGTGTTACTTTATATCCTTAGGGAAATCGAATTTAAATCAATCTTAACAGTTACAAAAAGACATGCAAGTTGAGAGCAGATTAAAAATCATTCTTCCAGGACTTAATAAGTACCACTTGAGAGAATGAGACATCCTTCTGAATTAAATTAACTACCTCCTGCATTTTCCAAGGACTATATTCTTTACAAATATAAACAAACCTGCTCTGGGAGATTTCTACAAGTAGGTCTTTCAGAAGAAATAAAATGAGTAGGATAAGTGGCAATTAAAATTCTACTAAAATTCAAGGGTATGTCAATACACTACTTTTTCAAATCCATTAAGGTTATATTTCTAACATATATATTAATTTATTGTGATGCACTTTCACTAAATTGCTGGGAAAAACTAACAACTTTTCTACTTGTTATGAAGATCAAGCATTTACTTTAATCATTCAATGCATTTAGTGCTTAAGCAGTTTGTTTTTACCTGTTTTGAGAGATAGTCAGGTTTTGTAGTAAAGGCAACCAATATGAAGAAAGTGCTTCCACAGTTGAAATGCTATTATCATCCAAGTGCAATTCTCTTAGTAGAACATGATTCTCCAAGGATGGAAGCTATATTTAAATTTGGGTCATTAGCTAATATTCAGCAAAATATTTTGTCATTCAACAAAATTCAAAAACATAAAACCTACTAAAACTAACAACAGACATATTCTGTTAAATTCAGAGTATAATGTTATAAGAATTTTAGGATGAATTAAATGTATAAGAATTAACTTCATAATTAGAATTTGATTTTTTACACAAGTTATCTCATCATAAATTTTAATTAGAATTTCTTGATAAATTGGTCCCATTTATATACTGTTATATTTTAACTGAGTAGTTACTATTTATTTTAGTGTTCTGAAAAACTTATGTTAAATTAGATTTCTTTATAAAATATTCTATGTTGAACATTTTTTTTAAAATAGAGAGAAGTATGTAACAGTTTTAAGTAAACTGGAAATCACATATCAATAATAGGCAAAAAAATAAAGAAAAATTAATCAAACTTGCTTTTAAATGTACAGTTGATATTTCTATTAAAAGGAAAATGTTGCATTAATCACAGAAACCAATAATTCAAAGCAATTACCTCACTTAGATAATTTCCCTGTAACTTCAGTATTTGGAGTAATCCACACTTTTCAATACCTTCAACTTTAGTAAGATGATTATGTGAGCAATCCAGGTATATAATGGTAGGAGTATCACAAAGGCCTTTTGTGCTAATTAACTGATTGTGGTCCACAATTAGTTGCTGAAGATTTTTCAAAGATTCTAAACCACCTGAAAGAAAATTTTCCAAGATCACTTGCATTGTACATTCTTCCAGAATTGAAAGGAGAGCTTCCATATTTTTCTAAATAATTGCATCTTTATATTTCCCAATATTTCTAGTTACAAGTGAAGACTTAGTCCATATTCCTATGAAATGTGTGTAAGTGTAAAATGTATTATTTTTTAAACTTGTACCCAGGAGAGATATTTTTGAATGACATAGTTGTGTGCCAATTTAAAATTGAACAAAATACTAAAAAGTATACATTGACACTGAAAATTTTATTTTCAAATGACAATTGAACAAGGGAGAGAAAAAAGGACTTGTTTTTTTTTTTAAATAGTTTTTAACTCGGGGCGCCTGGGTGGCGCAGTCGGTTAAGCGTCCGGCTTCAGCCAGGTCACGATCTCATGGTCCGTGAGTTCGAGCCCCGCGTCGGGCTCTGGGCTGATGGCTCAGAGCTTGGAGCCTGTTTCCGATTCTGTGTCTCCCTCTCTCTCTGCCCCTCGCCCGTTCATGCTCTGTCTCTCTCTGTCCCAAAAATAAATAAAAAACGTTGGAAAAAAAAATTTTTAAAAATAAATAGTTTTTAACTCAATTTCAGGGTCTTTAAAGTTTGAATCCTTACTTAAGTCTGAATATATAACATTGGAATGCCATTTTCCTACCATTGACATATCTATATTAGATTCCCAAATGATGTAGGTGCAGCCATATTAACAACAATGAAATATTAACACACTCTTCAGGTATTTCAACATTGTCACAAGTGGTCCGCTTTTAACCCAGATAGAGCTCAAACTAATATGATACTATATGAAAAATACCAAAGGAGCCTTAGACTACAGCTCAGTGCTCCTAAGGAAAAAACTGAGAACGTTGTTCAAGTAAGTCATCAGGAATTAGGATTGGAAAGAAACACTGAGGAAGTCTGTAAAAGTTTCATGGAAGATATTAAAAATCTAGAAAATGTTATTTATATTGAATATTGAACTATATATGATCTCTCTATGCATCACACTATTATATGAAATAGGCAGTTTTAAAAACTGGAAGTATGGCTTATGGTCTAAAGTAAGTACAGTTAAGCAGAATGTCTTCAGTGAGTATTACACATATGGGAGTCATTGAGGCTAAACTTTGGAGAATCAAGCTTCATTGTGATTTTCTTGTCAAACCCCAAAATATTTTTTTTAATTAAATGTTGGATTAGGCATGAGTTTTCAACCAAAAAAAATTTATTTGATAATAAACTGAAAGGTAATCTTGAAAGAAACATCATTATGTATAAAAATATATCTGGAATTTATGTAATAAATTTATCCTGGAGACATTTAAAGCATTAACTCAAGGTTTGTTCTTCTGATTATACCTTGTAATTTCTAGAAAGAAAGGGCAGAAAGACTGCTTATATCAAAATGGAGAAATAAAAGGAAAAATCAAGTAACATTACCAAGATTTCACAAGAAAGCTTAGTCTGTATCATATTTTAAAAATATATCTAATATCAATATGTAATATATAAAATTCAGAATTATGATAAATATTATACAAATATTTCAGAGATATATTTTAAGAAAAACTATATATCAAAATTTCAGTATTTCTAATAGTTTGAGTCAAAATAATTTGATATTATGCATGATTATTTCTTATGAAAAGTAATATATTTTTATGCTAAAGAGTAAATTTTCTTATAATGATAAATAAATTTTATATCTAAGAAAAGCAGGAAAATGCATAGAAGACCTATAGAAGAGAGAGAATGAAATTTAAATGTAGGCAGTAATCTTGCATTTTTAACTGCTTATCTAGGATTATATGTACTGGTATTTTCTTGTAATGTAAAATAGCAAGCATAACTTAGAAAAATTGTCATCTGTTGTTGTTCAAGGAGTGAATTGTTCTGCCCTATAAGAAATGACTAACCATTTAAATAACAGACCAATTATATATTATTAATTCTAAGGTATTAGAAATAGCATATTACATATTCTAATAATTATATATTCGTTAAAATGTAATTTAAAGTTTGCTGAAATAGAAAATACTTTGGAATTTAGTATGTCTTATGATCACTTCTAAAGAATATCAGTAAACCCACTGAAGTAGTTTAAAGGTATTCAAGGCAGAAGGAAATGCTAATAAAAATTTGTAATTGTGTAAAATAAAATTTCCTTTATCAAACATTTACACATGTTAAGCAATCTACTTCCATAAGCTTAATATTTTTAAAAGCCATGCACATTGCTCTTAAGCTTTTCAGAGCTATTCAGAAATAGAATCTTCCATTAAATCATTTAGAGTTGGGAATGCATTTGTAAAACTTTTCAAAGGTCACACAAGAAGAGAACCAAGAATGAAACATTAGTCATACACTGAGTAAAGCTAAAGGATTTGGCAGAAGCAGCCTAAAAGAAATAGGAAATAGCAGACAAAGCAGCAGAATAATTGGGAAAGAACAAGAGGAAAAAGCAAACGGAATTCTGTGATGATGACAGTGGTTACTAAAAATAAAAAATAAAATAATATACATTTTACAATTATGAAAGGCATTTTTATTCACAGGAAATTATATATGGCCAATAGTGTGAACAGGAGTATGGAGAGGCCACTGTCTTGGCAGTCATGAAGTAGCTAAAGACTTTTGTTAGAGGCAACAGTAACATAATCAAGATGGAAGTCACAGTGCAGTAGAAGTGGGGGCAAGGAGTATAGACCGTTTTTTTGATACTTGATTATGGAGAGAAGGTCATCTAAAGTGCTCAAAATGGCCCACAAAACCCTATATTTGAACTCATCCTCTACTACTATCCCATTATCTTGGTTCATTCTACCATGTTAACCTCATTGCTGTTCCTCAAACATGCTACACACACTTCCACCTTAGGGCTGTCTGTATATGTAAAAAGCAATATGAGAGTGTGAACATGTTAGGCTAGGAAGAATTAAGTAATGCCCACCAACTAATTTCAAACATTAAGACACCATGATTTTTAGCCAGTACACAAAGAAGGTATAATGAGTCCATTCAATAATCTGTTTGAGATTCCAATCTAGTGGAATTACCATGATTTCACGCCTCCGATACCGAGGAATATTTGACAGAGCATTTGCACTTCTATGAATCCATTACATAGTAATACACACACAACTACAAAGTAAAATGTAGAGAAACTCCTTTCCATACTATTTAAAACAAAGAAATGGAGATAAGTTAAATGTCTATCAGTAAGGGAATAGTTAAATAAATTATGGAGTATCTAAAAATGAATACACCTAATCTTCAATATGAAGTAGTCTGACATAGAAGGATGTCCATGATCTATTACTATATGTAAAACCTAATTTGTATACATAGGCTTTTAGCCATTTGAGTGAGTATATTGGAATTTAAATCTATACATCTATATTGGTATTGCAAAAATATCTTAATTGATTCATAAACAATTATGAGCCATGGTTACTCTTACAAAATAAAAAAAAAAAAGAAGGCTTAAACAGAGAATGTTTTATTGCTTACATTATATAATTCTCTATTTTTAAAAAATGCTTAAATGAGAATGCACTTCTTGCATAACAGATTTAAAAACAATCTATTTGGGGGAAAAAACTCAGAGCAAGTATTGAATAGAACTGTTACTTTGTATTTAATCCTGACTACCACCACTACCAACAATGATTGTTTAACTGAAGAAAACCTTGGAAAACCTGATCTGCTATTCATTAAAAGGGCTTGCTATAGAGCCAAACAGGGGAACTCTGTACTTAGATAAAAGGACATACCTCTTCGACTTTAAGATAAAAGTTTTAAAGGAAATGCAATGAAACAGTAGACAGAGACTGGGTAAGATCTCTATAGCACTGGCCTAAATATAACTGTGAGGGAGGATGCGTATATGAATATATATATACATATGTGTATATATACGTATATATATGTATATATATGTGTTATGCATACGTGTATATACATGTATATATATATGTGTATATATATGTATATATATAGCCTAAAACTTAGTTTAATGACAAAAAAAAGGAAATCATTTTAAAAAAATATGTGAATTATGTGGAACTGAGGCATGCCAACAAACAAGTGCATGAGCTCAGAAGATCTTTCAGCCTCATTGAGCCTTGAGATGACAGCAGTTCTGGTTGGCAACTTGACAGCAACCTCTTGAGAGATCCTGAGACAGAACTACCCAGTTAAGCCACTCCCAGATTCTTGATCCACAGAAAATATGAAGTAATAAGTGTGTGTGGTTTTATATTGCTCTTTTAGGGTACTTCACTTCACAACAACATACAACTAATACAGTAAGGATTATATTCTGAAGAAAATATGAGAAAGAAGAAAATATGTTGAAAATCCTTGGGGTGGTAGAAGGACAGTTAAAGAAACTTAATGTAACAAGAATTCAAAGATATTAAAATAACAGATGGGTACACAAGTGGACCAAAATAACACCATGACAGAACTAGTAAATACTTTAGGAACAACATTCTACAGAACAGAGAACTAAAGCTTGAATTGCCCACAAAAAAAAAAAAAAAAAGAGATCATCACATGAAGAATAAAATATGAAGAAGCTGAAAATAAAGACATAGATTAGATTAAATAATAATAGACATGAAAGACAGATAAACTCAACCAACATATGAATCATCTATGATTGAAAAATAGAACCAAGACAAAAAGTTTTCAAATATATAAAAACCAAAATTTTCCAAAAACAATATAATAACTTAGTCTGTAGTTTGAAAGGGACATTGCGTTCCAAACAAATTTATGTGGATTTCTTGACTATGTTTCTTGGTTCAGTTATGAATCAAGGACAAGGAAATGTTATTCAGGTATCTACACAAAAATCAGTTATGAGGGTAGAAAATCAAGTTGGCCTCTCACTTGCAATAGCAACACACAATATCACGTATTGTCACACACAGCACCAAGTGAAAGTGTTACTTGCATAATAAAGTATGAGTTTATTTTTCTTTAATGTTT